TCAGCAGGAGAAACATCTGACTGAGCAAAGACTAACTTACACAGTGGTTTGGAAGCCACGTGTTGAAAAGTGCTGGGGAAACACAGCAGGGAAAATGATAAAAAGGGATGAAAGCAGTTCAGATGGGTGAAGAATGCTGATTTAAAAATGCAAACCATCTGAACGCTGATGAGTGGGCAGGTTGCAGTAACGCCGGGCAGACCGAAGTTGCTCAACAGTCATACGCTGTAAGTCAACTCCCACAGGACATGGCCAGTAGTGTTATAAAATTGGAAGGGGTGGGGGGAGTTGTCACGGTGCTGCGGGGAGCAATCTTGCAGCCGCAGCATAGTGCAAGTCGGAAATGGGTCAGTGGGAGTAATAGCTTTTTTTTCCATGTGGTTGGTGTGAGCCAAGACAAATGTGTGTGGAGCACAGGGGTATCACACTCATGATTCCCCCCGCCCCCAGTGTGTTGGAAATGAATGTGTTTGCAATGAAATTTGGTCATCCAAGTGTGACATTATGAATCCTCTCTCTCTTGGGACACTGCCCTGAGTCCCAAAGTCAGCTTGCGCTTCTTTTAATGTTCTAGGCTTTGTCTAGACCATTAAAACAGACTGTGTTCGGCAATGTAATGCTGTGGCCTCGCGTTCCCAGGAGGTCAGCAGAAATGCTAGACTGAAATATCCCTGCTAATACCACCTGCGGTTTGTTCTCGCCTCTGCATTGTGGTAGGCAATCTCTTCTTTTGTGCTGAAACAACTGAATGTGTGACCACACTGAAGTGGATGAAGGGGCTGACCCAGTTTAAAAAAAAAAAAAAACAAAACCAACAAACCCAAAACCAAACCAAAACAAACCCCTCTGATATGTATTTCCCCACCCTGAGCTCCTGTTGTGTCATCTTAGTGGTCCAGTTTGTCATGTGCCAGCCCCATGCACAGGGGTGTTGGCGGAGGCATGGTGTGCAGGAACGAGGGACAGAGCGGAGAAAGCCTTACGCTGGTGTTATTGCCGGTTTCTGTTCGGTGTGAAAACACAGCCTTCGTTACAGCTTCGGTCTAAGCTTTGCACTCGGCTTTGATGTACTTCAGCAGCTTGCAGAAAGGTGATAGCGTATGGTGCCTGTGGTTTTGGTCCCTCCTGATGGTCAGGTGTAAGCAGGCAGCGTGTTGTCAGGGATGTGTAAGCTGCGTGTGCTGTTTGGATGCGGTGTGATGAGATGCTGGCTCCTGAGGCGCAGGTTGTTAATGAAATCCAAGCCTGCCCTCGCTCCGTTTTTCCCTTTTCTGATCACAGCTGGCCAGTACAACTGGCTCTTAAATCCCACCATTAAGCGGTCATTGAAACAAATGAGGTTAGAAACAAAATTCCAGAAGAAGGGGCTTATTTTTAATCCAGATCAGGTAAGTGATCTGTCACCGGCTGGTACAGCGAGTTACACTGCAGTGTAGCAGCTGAGGCTGATGATGAGTATGGTTCAGGGAGGCGAATGATAAGGCATATAAGGTACAGCCGCCACACTTCTTCCAGCCAGCTTTGCCACCAGTGCCCGTGCCACTTGATTAAGCAAGTGAGTTCATGTCAGGGCATAGTGTGCGTGATGGTCCAGCAATGTGTTAGTGTATTTTCCTTGGAACGCAGCCCCCCTCGGTCAGACTTTATTTCATTTTGGACCATGCATCCCTCCAATAATAGACAAGCTGTCCAAAATCCCCAACTATTAGTGGAGCACAGATTTCCAAGTCTAGGTCTGACATTCCCAACACACCCCCTTTAAGTAAATCTCTAGCATGATCCTGAAGGCATGTGTTTAGTTAGTTGTGCCATCCAGACCCCTTTTCGGAAAACTCAGACCCCTCGCGCCTGGACGTGCAGAATTCTTTCGTGCCACCTCAGCGTGCGCGCAGCATCCGTAGCAGAGGTACAACCCTTATTTGGGTCTGATCCTGGGCTGCGCCCCCCAGCTAATGGTGTGGCCCACTGACGCTGTGCCAGCTCGTACCAGCTGAGGAAAAGAAAAGCCTCCCCCCATGACCCGATGGTGTGATGCTTTTCCCTGCCCCACAGTGATACCTTCTTGGGGCCGTGGGCAGATTGGGGCTGTCCATCTGAGAGTTTGTGCTCCCTGCCTGGTCCCTTTGGGGACAGGCTTGCTCACAGGCCCCCTGCCCAAAGACTTGTGAAGGCATGAGAAGACAGCTGGTGGTGTCCCCACTGTGCATACAGCCAGGCATGCATTTTGCTTTTGCTCTCTTCATGCTGCACTTGGTATAGGAGAAGCAGGCAGGCACATGATCTCCCCGAAGGCAGGATCCAGTGTTACTGTAGAAACTGGCCACCAGCTTCTTTTGTAGCTAGCAGCTGTCACTGTGTGGTTGCAGCCAAAGCGTGTCACTCCTACGGTGTCTGCAGGCTCTGGAGTTTGTTTCTGCTTCTGAATCCTCCGTGCTACAGCTTGGAGATAAATTCTGCGTCTTCTATCAAAGCGTGTTAAGGTATTTCTGAATTGTGCCTATTTTTAAAGTCATTCTTGATTAATACTTGATGTTCTTTCCAGGTTTCATTTTCCTTCACCAAGACTTCAAGGCACGGAGGAGCTGGTAAAGGCATTGCCATGAAACCTAACTTGAAGCAATGGAAACAACTCATGCTTTTTGGGATCTTTGCATGGGGTCTGCTTTTTCTGGTGATATTCATCTATTTTACCGATAGCATTTCCCAGTTCCTTTTCTTACATTGAAACTAAGAGGCTTCTGCCCCTTCAGGGCAAGCAGAGAGTTATCATGGGAGCCATACACGATCCATCATTCTCTGAAACTATTGATGGGAACGAGGTACTTCTTAATGAAGATCTCTTAGGTACATTTAAGTCGGGGACTGGAAGTATTAAGAAGTGGACTGATTTGGAAGATGCTTTTAGAAGTGAAGACGAGTTTTTTCCATCACAGATAAGAAGAAAATCAAAAAGTGCTTTCTACCAAGTGAATGATTATTTATTTGCTGCTGGTCAGCCTCGGTCACACAACCACCTTCAAGAGATAGCAAAATTCATCTCAGCCGATGAGGATAATCCAAAAGTAAATATTTTGCAGAACAACTGGAGCCATCAGAGAAGAATGAGGAGAAGGAGCACAAAGCACAGGAGAAGCCAGATGCTTGATGAATCTGATGACTGGGATGGGCTATATTCAACAATGTCAAAATCCTTTCTTTACAAGCTTTGGAAAGGGGATGTCTCTTCCAAGATGCTGAACCCTCGACTGCAGAAGGCGATGAAAGATTATTTGAGCACCAATAAGCATGGGGTGCGGTTCAAGGGGAAACGAAACTCCAAGTTGACAGGAGACCAGCTATTCTGCGAGCTAAAAGAAAGGGTGAATGTGAAAACAATAGATGGCAAGGAGGCTCCCTTCTCCACTCTTGGATGGGAAAAGCACGTTCCCCAAATTCCACTGGGCAAATTGTATACACATGGCTTTGGGAGCTGTGCAGTAGTTATGTCTGCTGGTGCAATACTGAACTCCTCTCTAGGGGATGAAATAGGTGGGTGAAATACATCTATTCATGTGCATAGATGTACATGTATGTGTTCGTGTTTGTCTTTCAAAAGGTTCATTCTTCTCAAGCATAAGTCTGTAAAGCCTGGTTGTTCTCTCTCACCAGCGTAATGTGAGTGTGAGCTTATGGATTTGAGTGAAGCTGTTCCTTTTCAGGAGAATACAACTGAAAGGAAAATCAGGCCTGAAGTCATAATTTGATTTAAAGAAAACAATGATGCCTTCTTATCATCTTACAGCTTGTAGTATAAAGGAGGCATTGGTTTCATCAGATCTGCCATATTTGACATTTTGCTGCAGCATGTGTTTATTTCTTCAGACGATCAGAGCCATGTTCAAGTTTTATTTTGCAAAGCTGTGTTGTACCTGTCTGTATTTTGTAGTGGCTCATAGAGAAACTCCTTGTGGTGTAGCTACCCCAGGGTGAACTTTGTCTCCATGCCAAGAAGCAGTAGAGCATCCTCTTCATCTCCTGCATGTCTACAGTTTGCAGACATCTAGAATTTAGACCCTCAAGAAGCCCCGTGTGCCGAGGTCAAGTCCCCTGACCTCTTTCCAAGAGTGAATTTAAATGAGTTCAAGTATGTCCTCCCACCAATTTTTTCCATTGCTGCAGAGTCAGAAGGGTTACAGGTGTGCTGAGGTGTCAACATCGTGCAGAATTCCCCTCTTCAAGGTGGGAGTTTTGTGGTAGCTATTCAGAAAAGGTCTGTGGAGCCATAAAACTAATCCAGGTCAGTTTTATTTTTTCTTTCTAAAAATGAGTGCTACTACTCATGTTAACATTTCAGTAGTTTTTCATTGTAGTAGTATGCGTGCAGTATGCTAAGAGCGCTGAAAGAAGGATGAAATGCGTGTCTCAAACTTGCTTCTGGAGCAAGAAGAGTTACGTCCTCCAGCTCTCTATAAAAACCCTTTGATGTGCACTCATTAATCCTCCCAGTCTTCCAGGACTTCACATCCCAATACCTGCTTCATTGCACTGTATCATCTCTTTGACACAGATGGGTTTCCTTTAAATCTCTGGGATATACTAGAGCTGCTGTCATTATCAAACTACTCTAATAGGCTTCCAGCACAGCATGGGTGCCTGGCCAGCCTGCAGCTAAAATCACACCAGGGTAACATCTAGTTTCACAGGAAACCCACTGATTTAAAAATCTTTGGGGTGAAATAGCTTAAGAGTTACTCCCTTCTCCAGTGTCTTATCCTTGAGTGAAACAAAATTGTTTTCTGTCAGTATCCCAGTTTACACTGGTGTGGGTTAGTGATGTACTGGAGAATCCCATAGCACACTGTGACATACTTGTATATTTATATATTGCATCGTGATATATTTGCATGCTCAGGTGCAGCCCGGGTGTGGACTTTGGTGGTTGACATGGTACCTGGGGCCTGTATGTGCTCCTGTGTGTACCCTCTCTCAGGAGTGCTCTCTCAGGAGCACTCTGGGCACAGAAAGCTTATGCCAAGCTTTGAGGAAAAGCTTTTGATTTAATTGGGAAATTGTCATGAGATGCTGTTCAGTAAGGCCTACACTGACGTTTCTGATCTCCTCCTACCTGTTGTACAGGAGTGTGTATGTGACAGCAGAAGTCACAGAATATTTTTTTCTAAGTGAGTTCCAGGCCATGGGCAGGTACTTGTGAGTGAGGGGAGAATGTGGCCTAGAACTGGGTGGGGGCAACTGACTGCTTACAGCCATCCCAGGAGGGCCTGATGCAAACCTATGTGTCTACGTGGTCTGTACACTGGAGACATCGTGCCAGTGTTTCCCATTTAAAATGGAAGCTCCAGCATCTGTGCGTATTGTTATTCCCACAGGGAAGAAGTTACTCTTCCCCTGCAGAATGCACATAGTACATGTTCCACCTGAGCTCTTGGCTGTGCCTCTAGGTCCTTGAAAAGGTGAGAAGAGTCTGCCCAGGAAGAGAAGGATCAGACTGCACACGATGCTCTTTTTCCCCGTGCATGCGCAGCTGTAGGAAAGGACTGTCCTTTCCCAGAGGGGCTGCCAGCGCTTGGTTGGAGGTGCAAGCAGCCTGCCAGTCTGGAGGCACCTTGGGGGTGCTGCTCTGCGGAGTCAGCCTCCTGGGCTCCTTGGCTGTGTGTCCACAGGGACACGGGAGAAACACCCCATGCATCAGTTCTGCTTTTGAGGCCATGGGCTGTGCAGCGTTGGTTGAAGTTGCTGCAGGCAAAAGGCTTTTCCTAGTTCTCCTCCCAAAAGAAAAAACAAGTCTGAAGAAAGCACCAGGAAGAGGACCTTTCTCTTCACAAGCCTTTAGCTCCCTCTTCTGTGTTCCTATTACAAACGCAGGCAGAAATGTTAATGTCTTCTGCTTCTGCCCTCCTCTTTTCCCCTCCCTCCCCCCCCAGTTGTTTTGGAATGGAATTAATTATGGAAATACTGTGCAAATACAGCAAAATACTTACATTGTCATCATGCTATTTAATGGGAGACCCAATTATTTTGGCATCGTCAGGAAGTGACAAGGATCTGTGATCAAAACCCTCACTTTTTATATCTTTAAAATGGTTATCTACAAATACTTCGTAAGATCAAAATCAGTTAACTTAAAGGCAACTATTATCAATGCCAGGCTGTGTCCTGATCGTATGTTTTATGGTGGAGGAAAGGTTTTTACTCTTGATACGAAGACTCAGCATGGGTAACGTTGGAAATGCAGCACACTGTCTGTCAATTAATCTGGGAACCACCCAATTCCCATTTCCTAGCTTGGCTACCAGTTGTCAGTCAACAGAGTGTCAAAAAAGTTCTCGGGGGTGGGTCCAAATTTATGTTCTTAAATTCATTAAGCAGGTTTCTAATATGAAGAACCTTTGTTTTTCTTTTCCTTCTCCCAAAAGTGGAGTACTTGCACCTCTTATTCACTTCATGTCCTCTAGCTCCTACACAGTCAAGATGCTTATGTCTAGGCAGAGGAAGGATAGGTGTTGAGGCTAGGGTTCTCCTTCCATGGGGGCATAATAAAAAAGCCTCTGCTCCTTCTCAGCTTCTGAGGAGTTGGGCTCAGTGGACACTTGGCAAAAATCTCTTTTCAGACACAGCATGCGAAAGCAAGCAGGTATGGCTGAGATTGGACTGCCGGCTTCATGTCGCACAGCACTTTTCCTGTCTGGAGTACAGGAGGTGTGGAGTAAAGGTGTGAAAGGATGGAAGATCCCAGCTTGATAGGATCAGGCCTAAACTCCATTGGAGCATGTTGTCTTGGAAACTTCTGCATCCTCCTCCTTTTTTGAGCTACAGACAACCCTGTTTTAAGTGACTGGAGATAAGCAGCTATACAACCTACCTATGGGTTAAGGCATTACATGCCCATTTTGGCCTGAATCGTATTCTCTGCTTCCATCGATAGAAGAGATAAAAGTAAACGAAATAGGGGGCTAGCGACCAGGACAGTGTTATTTCTGGAAAAGGAGTATAATGTCTCACTCTCCCTCACACCTCTGGGCCTTTGAGATGCCCTTAAAAGAAGCACTGGGAGGGTGATTATGTTTTATGCAGCAGAGGCTTGCACATAGTGTCTACCCTTGACCCATACTTGACCTATAGCTGCTTTCTATTCCACATGACTCCGAGGTCAGCAGCTCTTGGGGAAACTCTGACAGCTCAGCTCACTTAGATCTTTGCTACCAAGGGATCCTCGGGTTCCTGTGTCTGAGTAGGTTTGTGAGCTGACTTCTCTACGTACACTCCTAAGACTTGTACTGACCTTGAGAATAAGCACAAGGTATGATTAATAGGTTTGGGTTAGTTCGAGATTTTTCAGGCAGTATAAAATACTGTGGAGCACAACCTTATAGTTCAGTGGTGCTATTCATTCAAATCTGCAATTACACATCCTTGCAATTAACACACGTTTGCATGGAGTAATTCTTTATAAATTTTGCGATAGAAATAGCCAGCGGTTGTGTGTACTGGGTGTACTAACAACCTTCACACACTAAGTTTATCCAGTTAATAGAAATATTAGTATTTCAATATTAGTATTTCAAGCTAAATCAGTAGATTATTTTGAACTTTTTTTTCTGGTGGATCTTAATAATGTTAATAACGTATGGTAGATGCAAGGAAGTTTTTGTTTATGTGTAGTAGAATGTTTATCGTCCTTGGGGCATCAAGATTAGGAGAAATTTATATGTTTTATGTTACTTAGATAATTTGTTTTATTTTACTGTTCTATATTAGTAAAAAAAAAATAAAAATGATCCCCTCATTTATGCTCCTAGATTCTCATGATGCTGTTCTAAGGTTTAATTCTGCTCCAACGCGTGGCTATGAAAAAGATGTTGGAAATAAAACAACCATGCGGATCATTAACTCTCAGGTAAGATCTTCCGTTTCTGAATTCAAGGCAATGTCACTTCTGTGCAATATGACATTAAATTAATAACTTCTGAGAAAGTGTTGGGTAATCTGGGAAACAGCTGCTGATTTAACATTCACAATATAGAGCAGGTAAAAATTCTCCATTACAGGGATGCTCACGCTGCTCTCAGTGTAGACTGATGGCAGTAGTTACTTGATACCCTTGTTTTAAAGAATTGGTTTGTAAAGTTTCTCATGTGTCCTACATCTGTAAAGACTCTGCAGGATGTCAGAGCCATCAGTACAGAAGACCTTCACTATAGTGTCTCTGGGATCTTCACAAAGCCTGGGCTGTGGGGATCCCAAAGCTCTTTTCTCATATTTTCCAGTTCCCCAATTATTTCCTCACTAGAAGACGAAAGAAGTGGGAACTGAGTTGTCTTAATACAGAACTTTAGGCAAGTCATTGTTCTTTAAGAATTTGGAATGAAATAGTGAAAAACTTTAATGCACACTGGATAGTACACGTAAGGGGAGTTTGTTCTTCTGAGTGGAAACAGAAAATGGGATTTTCTGCATGTGGGTGCCAGCACATAATTGTGCATTGAGCACTACTGACACCTTATGGTTGAGAGTCATTTTTTCAGTTTTGAAAAAACTATTGCCTGTACTCTGGCATTGGGCAAGCCAAGCCTCTTTCCTCCTTATGAAATGCAGCCAAAAAGCAATAACAGAATTATTGTGCAATTTCATGACCTATTAAAATGGTGAGTTTATTTAGTCAACACCAGGAGTATGGTTGGCCATGTAGCATACTCTCTACGTACTGATTCTTGCTGAATAAGAGCTAAGTTTTCATTTACTGTTATGAATTAGTTTTTTCTTCTTCTTTGAGTGACTGCCCATGCAAAGTCCATCCTTGGTGGGCATGTTCTCTTTGCATCTGAGTTCATGTTCTTTGCCACCACAGAGAGGACTGTTCACTGTCATTCTCTTCACACTCATTTTGTAGCTTTTTCTGAGGCCACAGAAGAGACTAGAAGTCATTTTAGTTAAATATGCCCCTTTCTTCTGTTCAGGGGAAGAAAGCAAAAATGTATTTCTCTGGATTTAGTGCTGAAATCAATGTATTGGAGAACATTGATCTTAATGTCATTAATTTTGCTTCTTCCTTATTATTTTGGAGGGACTTTTCCTTCCTTGACTGTTCCTTGGCCCAAACGTTGTGGTTGCTGACCATGCCTGAACTCCTGTGCCAGGCTTAGAAACTTTATTTAGTGGACTAGCCTCAGTAGGCTCCCCACAGGAGAAGAGAGAAATGCCTCCAGGAAGTGATCTGAGCTCTGTTAGCTCCCCAGCGACTTCAGAGGGGCTAAACAGGTAAATTAGCTGCTCTCTGCTGCTGGCAGCAGGGTGGGGTCCTCCTGGCTCCCAGAGCTGCTGCAATACACTCCCACCGGGGTGGGTAATGGAGGGTCCCATGGTCTTCTCTGCTGCGCTGTACGTTGCTTGCTCTTCACAAGGCCTCTCAAGAAAACACGGGTCATGGCTAAAATTCAGGCCAGGTCAGCTCACAGAGCTTCCTCACAAACGTTTGTATTCTCACCACCTTCCTGCTCCTTTAAAGAGGTGGATGCTCTGGCCACCTAATGAGAAGCTGGCCTTCCCCTCG